GGTGACAGAGGGTGACCCCGTCCACGGTCACCTGTCCTGCAACGCTGTGGGCCTCCATTGGGCCCCCAACAGCACCACGGCGGGCTGGGAATGAGTCCAGCTTTGGCGGGACTTGGGAGCCGACCAGAGGGACAGGGTAGATGGGAGGGTGGGCTCGTCCAGGGCACAGAAAATCCCCGCAGCCCGTGCCAAGCGGCCCGGGCCTGGCCCGCAGCCCCGAGCTCCAGGCAGGAAGTTTCCCAAGCTGCCTGTGGGGACCGGCAGTTAAATTGCCGCGCAGAGCAGCCAGACGCAGGAGAAGGGGGCGCGCTGCGGGCACCTGGGCAGCCTCTCAGACCGCAGAGCCGAGGTGCGCAGGTCCCCGCAGGGCGGCCGGGCCAGGGTGGGGCCACCCGGGACACAGCAGCCCTGCAGCGCCGGCTTCTGCTGTGCACGGATTTTCCAGGCAGTGACAGCGGCTTGGAGCGGAGCCCGGGAGCGGATCCAGGGACTGCGCCTGACGTGGGGTGAGCTGCCCCGGCCTGGGGGTGTCGGGGGCCCAAGCGGTGTTGGAGCCGCCATTCTCGGGGGCACTGGGCTCCCTGAGCCACTGGGTTCCAAACGGTTTGGCACTTTTGAGGGTGGCTGCTAGGCAACACCAGCACACGGCCCCACTTTTAATTCCGTGAGGAGACCCAGGATCAACAGGGGTGTGGGGAGACGCATTATGCCCTGAGCTGGTGGATCTGCAGAATGTCCCCCGGGGAGGCAATAGCGTGTAGGTGAGTGGCGCAGTCCACAGCAGCCAGAGGGTAGCCTGGCATCCGTAACAGAGGGACGGGCGGAAAGCAAGCATGGCTGGGCTGTGTGGGGAATACTACACACTCATGAAAAAGACCGAGGCTCCAGGTCCAGTGTCAAGGGGCTCAGACCCACAATTCTCCAGACGCACAATTTGTACTGACAGCTCAGACACAAGAAAAACACAGTGATTGTGTTTGTGCGACCTGACTTTCAAATTCAGTTTTCAACCATTCATTTATTCTTTTTCAATGCTGAGCGTGAAACCCAGCACCTTAGCCCTGAGCGCCAGCTCTAAACATTTTTTTTTTTTCCTGTCTTTCTGAGATGGGGTCTCGCTGTGCAGCTCAGGCTGGTCTTGAACTCACAGCGACCCTCCTTGCCCCAGCCTCCCAAAGGCTGGCACAGCAGGTGCGCACCACGCCCGGCTGAAAATTGCTGTTTGCTTCGCTCTTTGCGTACTGGGGACTGAAGCAGGGCGTCTATGCTGAGTGCCCCCCACTCCCTTCTGATTTCTCGAGTCAGGGTTGCCCTGGCTGGGCTTCGGTTTGGGGTCCTCCTGCCTCGGGGCTCCCCGCTCCTTACTTACCCGGCCGCTTGGGGGCAGGGGGTGGCCAGCGCCCCAGGGTCCGTGCCCCTTGGGGGCTGCAGCGCCAGGACTCGCGCACGCCCCGCTCCCTGCAGCTGCGCCCACTTCCCGAAAGCCGCGGCCAGGAAGCGGCGACTGTGCCTTTCCTTCCCGGCCGGCCGCGCCTGCAGCTGGAGCGGGC